AACTAACCTATGACCTTCTGACCTCTGAACTCTTCACCCAATGATGACCTGCCCATTGCCTGCCTGCTGACCAGCTCTCTGGCAAACGTCTTCGCTTGTCTGTCTCGCAGTCGCGGCGAGCCGAGATGCAACTTTTCACCTAACAAAGCAACCCGACGGTGACTCGACAACGCCACCTCCCAGCAGCCCTCTCCAGTCGGGTGATCGCGGCTTTAAACCTGCACTGAATATAGTCACACAGCAATAATGAGGTCCTGCACCCCACCCCTACACCCCACCCCTATACACACACACACACACGCATAAACACCCAACTACACCCCCCATGACCCACACTTCTTCCTCCTTCTACTCCTCTTCTTCATCTGCTCTGAAGAAGAGGCCTGGTGAAAACACGTGAAGGGCTCTCCACCACTCTCCCCTCCAGCCCGGTGCCTCTCTGGCCTCCTGAGAGAGAGACCTGGCCCTGAATGTACCCCTGCGGTAACGAGGAGTCCTCATGCACGCATCCAGTCAGTCATTAAAGGCCTTTTGGGGGCACAGACTCCCAGCACCCCGGTATCTGTCACACATCAGATAGGTATAGAACCACGGAAACCAGGCCATGTGGGAGGCGGGGCTGGGGCGGGGCTGAAGAAGGGAAGGGGTGTGGCTTAGTGGGGATGGCAGGACACTAAACACTGAAAGACAGCAGCAAAGGTTGCATGTATCAAATGTCCTATTACTTATCAGCATTTGTTTTTTTTTTTTACAAAAAAAACACTTCCTTGTGAGACACATCTTCAAGGATGTTAAAAAAGCCATGCCTGCCTGTCTGCTTTATGTGTATTGACATTGTAGATAAATGTTGAGAAACAAAGAAAACCTAAACTGAACTAGCGAAAAAATCGACACTTTTATGATTCAAGGGTGCTGCCGAAGAGGAAAAGATATATTTTCACAAATGTTAGCCTTTTATACACGCAAGTATTGTAAAGAAAAAAGTGAACAAAGAAGAAACCCTTTAGTTTATGATTCTGAAAAACAAAAAACTGTTCTCTGTGTAGACGGAGTGGTATTGACGACCAAAACAGCCTTTTTTTGTTGAACGTTAACAGTGTTAAAAAAATGGAAGTGCCTTACTTTACTCATGGTCATTGAGTCAGTATGCGATATCAGTTTGTTCCTACCTGCATACCAGGTGAATACACTCTCAGCTCCCTTGATTTTCTGCACAGGTAGCAGTGAATGAGTGACGCCCTTCAGAGACTAAGAGGTGTGAATCTGAATCTGGCTCCTTAATTCTGAGACTGAGGGAAACTTTTTTTTGATGTGGTTTTTTAAACACTTACCAGTGTATTAGTGTGTGGCACAAGGCAGTAGAGCTAAGCCTGTGAGCCCTCCACAGTACCCTGCTGTCTGAGCAGCTGATGCTCCACTGAGCTGGGACAGGGGCTAGGAACATCCCACACTCCCGCAGAGTTACACCAGCTGAGTGCTTCACAGTGGTGAAGGAAAGTAAAAATCTAACATGCTGTATTGTAATGGTGGTACTAAGAGAGCATTGAGGTGTTGCACTCCACTTGGAGCTGCCCACGTGAAAACAGCTATGCGCAACAGATACACACAACGGCACAGTGTGACCAAACGGCACAGCCGTGCCACCTGAAACAGGGAAAACAAAGCAAGGCTGGGGGGGTGGAGTTGAAAAATCTGTATTTTTGATGTTTTTCAATGAGGATCTTCCTTTGTTTTTCCCACTCAGTGGGCATTGTCATGACATGTCACCAGAAAGTACAATATCCAATAGAACATAACATTATGTTTTGCAGAGGGGTTTATGGGAGTTTCCAGATCTTCATAACTGTAGTCCTCAGCAGCCCCTGGACTACGCTTCCCACTAGCCCTATTGTTACACATATTTGTTGTGTTCTGATAATTGAAGACAGCCCAACCCTGAATTTGTGCCAGAAGTCACACTTTTACTCACGCACACACACAGACATATATGTGGCTACATATAAGTCTGGATTGTTTCACACATGTCCAAGTCTTGCCCTATGAGCCACTCCTAGTCTGTGAGGAGTTGTTTACTTGGACGCAAGTTTGGCTATTTATTTTTTTTTCCCTCAGTCACAGCACTGGCTCCTGGGCCTTTTCCAAGACTGCAGGATAGCTCCGGCGATTCCTCAGGCAGCCATCTGTAGGGCCGTATCGCACCTCCTCAACCTCATGACAGAGTAACACGTGTCAAACCCAAGCTGTTAGGGAAAAAGCATGCTGAAATATACAGTCTGTATCACAAAATGCAGCAGTCATAGCCACCCTCATATTTGCAAGTGTGCGCATATATTGCAGAATATATGTGTGCAAAATATGTAATTTTACGACATTATTTACTGTTTTTGCACAAAATTACATATATTGCAGTGACCCTGTTGTATGTTTTCATGTATGCGGCATATTTGACATGTTTAAAAAAATATTGTCCTTATAGTTTTGTTATTTCAAAATTTTAATTCTCTGGAAAGCTGATACATCAAAATGGTGGAGCTTTACGTTAGTGTTATCAGCTATTGTTGTCATCCCCCCCCCTTCTCTATACTCACTATGCAACAGACTGGCCTGTAATAATTAGATAGATTCCTTGCCATAAGTGCATCTTCCTGTTTGGATATTCATTTTGGTTTTATATCCTCCTGGTTCCATTGATGCAGTGTGATAACGGATAGACTTTGGAGTAATACAAGCGTAGGTGAACCATCTCATCTCTCATGGGGAGACCCTGGAATAGAGTATTAACTGGGTGAAAAGTGTAACATGAAGGCTTCCTGTAGTTTCAAAGATGAATATATTTGTTGTTGGGTGGGACTGTCGTATCCAATAAGCTTGAAGTTGACTTCTTTTAACATCTCAGTGTTATACTTCTCTCAGTTTGTTAAGCCTTGACGACAGTATTATATTATTTTGATTTTTTTTTTTTTTGGTTTGTTTTTGCCATGTGAATGTGTGCGTGTGTGTGTGTGTGTGTGTGTGTGTGTAGGTGAGTGTGTGTTTAGACTGTTCTTTGTAATATATCATAGTTAGTGGTCTGTACCCTGTGTTGTAACTTTACTCATGCTTTGTATTAACAATATCAAACATCCTGATATTGGTTTGATCAACAAAAAGAGTACATGGACATATTTACAGCTGATGTTACAGGTTTATAATGTATTTTTCTATCTAATTTTATATGTATGTAATAAATAACATTAACAGACATGCCTCCAGGTTTGAACAATAAGAACAAGAAAGGGGGGAAAAACCTATTCAAGTGCACATGTGCAGGTTTTCAATGAGAGGTGTTTGGTCTCCAATGTACATAACTATCAGGACTCGTGCCTGTATCAAGCCTTATTATCCTTAATCATTTAGTACAGGGGTTTTCAACTTGTGTGAGAGCTCGTACCCCCACACAGAAAGACAGCAACCGTTACCCCCTCCACACCCCCCCCAAGCTAACATGCTGTCTGTGTGCCAGATTTCCTCTTGTTTGCATAGGTGTGGTAAATAATAAAATGGTACATGCAATTTTATCCTTTCTGTGAAGGATACCATTGGAAGTTGTTTGATACTGATAAACTGAACTTTATATATTACAATTTTAATTCATACGTATTGCCATTATTTTATTCTTCTTATTATTATGTTGACTCCTGGTTGAAAGTCCCTGATCTGCTGGATGACATCATTAAAACAGCACAGACAGTAGATTGATTCTGTGAACACCAAATGCAGAAGGAGTGTTTGGATGGATGTACTATACGGTTATCAAACGTGTTTGTCAAGGCAGTGTGCCAAATGTGTGTGTGTGTGTGTGTGTGTGTGTGTGTGTGTGTGTGTGTGTGTGTGTGTGTGTGTGTGTGTGTGTGTGTGTGTGTGTGTGTGCGCGTGCATGCGTGTGCTTGTGGATGTGTGTAGTATGTCCAGCTGAACACTTTCCCTGTGTACTGTTTTATTTTCAAAAGCTTGTCATCTTTTTAAAGATTTTAAAATGAATTACAATGGAGTCATTTGTAGTTTTTCATGGAGAAGTCAAGGTGCCTCAGCTGTGATGAACTTTTATTTTTCTTTATACTGTGTGTCGCTTGCATTTGAAGGCCTTTTGTTTTAAGGCGGTATTAACCTTTAGTATTATTTTAATAAATGTTACAATGCAGTTGTACTAACTAACAATGGACACAGTCTGTTTCTTTAACCCCTCATTGTTTCTGGTGTCTGCTTCGATTGTTTTAAAACCAGAATTGTGAAAAGCTTAACTTAGAATGCTCAAGAAAACACATAACACTCTGTTCCAAAGAGGAATATTAAAATGACAGTAAAAAAAATCAAACTAACTTTGGTGCTTTGTCTCTGTAGCTTTTTATGTGCCTTCAAGCTAAAGTTCTGCTTACTAATTAAACACAGAGTTGTTAACACACACCCTTCAAAAAAAGAAGACGTTTAAATGAAATACAAGGGGGAGTGGATACTGTAAAATCACCATATTTTTGAAGCATGTGCATGTCAGTGGACTGAAACAGAAAGCAGGCACACATGAAAATACATATGAAAATACAGTACCAATCAAAAGTTTGGACACAACTTTTATTCCTTATTTTTACTATTTTGCACAGTTTAGAATGATTCTTCAAAGTAGCCCAATTTTTTTTTATTAGGCATCAACTTCACTATGTATATTTTTCTACATATGATTTTCTTTCCCAGAAAAATTATTTAAAAAAAAATTAAATAAAAGTTGTGTCCAAACTTTTGACTGGTACTGTATATCAAACATAGAGGTCCAAACACTGAGGGTAGGCCATATAGCAGCCATTATTACGGGCAGCAGTGTGGCAGTGGTAAGGGTTGCCAGTTCAGCTGCACTGCAGTGGGTGATGTGCAAGTTACATAAGTCCCTCTGAATAGGGGTATCTGCAATGATGAGTGTATGTATGTACCTATATGTCATACATTGTCTGATATATACTGTAAGGGGTGCCAGTGTAGCATAGTAGTAAGGATTAGGGCTTGAAACCAAAAGGTTGCTGGTTCGATTCCACTCTGGGGCGCTGCTGCTGTACCCTTAGACAGGGTACATAACCCAGAGTTGTCTTAGTAAATATCCAGCTGTATAAATGGATAACATGTAAAAACTGCTACCTATGTAAGTGTAAGTAATGCAATATACATAATACACATGGTCACTGTTGGGTATTGATTATATGTAATGAAAATGATGTGCAGTGCCAGTATAGGCTCTGGGTTCTTCACCTGGGGACCGGTGTAGTAATGATGTGGTGTCCCGGCACTGGAGTTTTGGCCCAGTGCTGCACTGTCACACGGTGGTTATAAACAGATGCTCCGGCCTCCCACTCTCTCTGCAGACACTCACAGTTAAGGATGCCTCATTGTTCTCTCTTTCCTCGCTCATTTCTTTTCCATCTGTTCTGAGGGCTGGGTTTTTTAAGAGTCTAGCGATTTGGGGGGGGGAGGGGTTGTAAATATGCACTGTTCATCTCCAGAGGGAGATTCTAGTAAAGTCTGTCTACTGAGCATATGTGGGAAAAGGTTGGGTGGGTTTTTTTAACACCTGATAAAAGAAAAAAAGGAATGGTTGCTAAAATATGTAAATGAGGTGCGGCGCATATTGAATTTGGCAGCCTACTGGTGCACAAATGTAAATATCAGCAACGAATATTACAGCAATGCCGAGTGCAGCTAATCACTGCCTTCTCATCGGCTGCTGCACTTCAGTCGTATGTTGAAGTAAGTGAATGCTCTAATGGTTGTGTTTGACACACTCCCATTGAGATGTACTTTCTCAGCCACCAAGGTCTCTAATACCATCAACTTCTGCCCTGTCTGACGAAGGCTGGGAAACCCTGGCTGAGAACCTGAGCATCACTGAACATTCTGACAGTTTCACGTGTCACTGGTTAGGTTTGAGGCATTTCAGAATATGTGGGGATGTGCTGTCTGTGGGTCTGGCCCCGCAATTCTCCTTATCAAGTCATGTGTTCCATGTTTTCAGAGGGTTTCTTTCATTTCAGATTAACCAAAGACAGTGAAGTGGATTAAGGGGCTATAGTTCTACCTCAGAACCCAGTAGCATCAAAACCATTAAAAACATTAAAAACCTCCTTTCTGAGCTCTGAAGGTGTATATTATGTGTCAGGGTAAGGTTTGTTTGCAGGTGACAAGCCATTAACACAATGTTGTTGCTGTCATATCCCTGAAACAAAAGAAACAAAAGCACTAAAATTAGCTGTGGATTGACGTAAAAGCACCAATCAGAAGACTTTTCCTTCCCGCTTATAATTTTTTTCAATACACATCACCCCTATGCCCCCATCAGAAAAGACACACAATTAGTATCTGCCATTCTCTTTAACCCTCTTTCCTTTTTTCTTTCTTTCTATATATCTGCCATTCTTCTTACTCACATCAGCAACTTGAGAGTTCATTATTTGCAACACCCCAAACAGACACAAAATTCCTGAAACCCCAAAGTTTTCGGCCCCTCAGCCATAAGACTAGCGCAGGCGTGTGCCGCCTGGTTTTGGCGGTAAACTGTGCCTTGCGTTGCCGTGGGGACATGGAGTCTCAGTAGCCCTCTTGGTGTGAAAGCATGTCTCAACTTTCAGGAGACGCTGTGAACACCACTGGAGACGCTGTTAATGAAAACCTCAAATGGAAGATTAAAACAGTGGGGTTGTGAGTTTCAGTGGTGGGAGACAGGGAAAATGAGAAATGAATTTTACAGGTCCCCTTTGCTATCAGAGACAGCGAAATTAGAGCGGGCGGCAGTAAGTATATTTCAATCACTCCTGTACAGATTGATCTATAAATTGCTTTTGTCGTGCCCTTCAGAAACCTCACACTGCAAGGCAGTCCAGCCAATTCATTCTCTCTTTCTTTCACTCTTTTCTCTCTCTCTCTCTCTCTCTCTCTCTCAATTCAGTTCATTTCAAACTGCTTTACTGGCATGACAAAAGCATTTCATTTGTATTGCCAAAGCATACAGTATTAACAATAATAGTGACATTACAAATGACTGTATAATAATTAATGTCACCATCAGAGAGGTGATAATGAACAGCATACAACAACTTTGAAATGATTATAATAAGACAGTCATATAAGGAATTTAGAGGAAAATAAATAATTACTGTAATAATTGAGTGTATTAATTAAGTGACGATGAAGATAATAATCAACATCAGCATGATCATCGTCACTACCAGGAAACGGAGGAACGAGAAAGGCTCCTATTTCAGGCTCCATGCTTGTGAACCAGGTGAAGGATTGCGTGATCAGTAGTGGGACATTCTTTAACAGCAGCCCCCCACCTTACGCATTTTGGGGGTGGTGAAGTGCATCCTGGGAGCTGTGGAGGTCACGCATCGGGCTGTGTGCCAGCCTCTCCCGCATCCTCAGTCCCCTGCAGTACGGAACGCCATCTTCAGGGAGGACCTGCTGTGGTTTAGGGCGCATTGCATTAACCGTCCAGAGGGAAACATTGGCACCAGTGAACAAAACAATCCAACAGCCCTATTGAGCTTCATCAGTCATGCTTCATATTAAGCATACATTCATCAGGCCTTCGTCAATCACATGTAACAACACCTTGGCAATGGCGTTGCCACTTCATAAACCATTCACAGTCAACCTCTGTGCTTCATTACTACTAGAATGATACTCCACACATTTTCACTTGCATGTTTTTTGATGTATTATATCACTTAGCTATTATCATCATACGTCAGCCATCATAAAGCCGTATTAAATGCTTTGTAAGCAGTAAGGCCATGTGCTCATGAGCTTTATGACAGGCTGTTGAAGCTACACTCCATATGGCAATCCACAAGTCCCTCAGATTCTAGCAAGTGGCACTTATCCAAATGTAAGATGACGTGTGTTCAAATGCACCTTCTCCCAGCCTATTTTCCTTCTTCTAATGGCCAGAACCTTGAGGACACCATCACTGAGACCTTCCTGAAAACCAATTCATTCAATCATTCAATAAACAACGATAACCTGATGGAATTTGTGTTTTACTGAAGGGGGTGTGGATGAGACCCATTCTGGAGTAAAGGGTTCCCTTAAGAATGAAGAATGGACCTTGACCACCATGATCTTGCACACACACACACACACACGTACACACACACACACACACACGTACACACACAGAGAAGCAATGGATTGTGTGTTTGCGTGAGACCAGCTGAATGAGCAGGACTGCAATGAAGTCAGCTTTCAGTGATGTCACCCCACCCACTCCCCTTCTACATTTAGCCTTCCTTCCCTTGTTCTTCTTCATGCCTGTGATGTCTCTCTCATCCTTTCCTCTTCTTTCTTCTCTCTCTTGTCCTCTCTGTCTTCAGACTGGTTGTATTAGAGTTATGCTGTGTTGCCAAATCATTTTAGGCCAGGGAAATATAAGATCAATCCTCCCTTCCCTCCCCTGTCTCATCCAGACCAAAACAAAACTCTTTCAAGGTCCCCTCTCTCTCTCTCCCTCAGTAGTCTCTCCATGCTCTCTCTCTGTCTCTCTACCCTTGCCCTCTTTTTCTCTCTCTGTCTCTCTACCCTTGCCCTCTTTTTCTCTCTCTCTCTCTCTCTCTCTCTCTCTGTCCTCTCCCATTCCTCCTCTCTCTGTCCTCTCTTTACCCTTCCTGTCCCCTCTCAGGAGCGCTGACATGGGCCTGGTCCAGCTCGGGCTGTATCTCACTCCGCCTGTGCACTTGTGGGTGGAGGGAACACTGCGATCTGGCAGGCAGCGGACGCCGGCCGCAGCCAAGATCATTATTTTAACATTCCGACAGCGACGTAGGCCGAGAGGCCTGGAAGGACAGGCAGGTCCCCCTTCTCTCCCCCCCCTCCCTCTCTCTCTCTCTCTCTCTCTCTCTCTATCTCTCTCTCTATCTCTTTCTCCCTCTCCCTCACAACAATGTGCCTTTCACAGCTCTGACCGGCACAAGTGTGAGGCAATCAGTGGAGCGTCCCTGAGGCCTATCGGCAGCTCTCGCACCTGTTGCAGTGCCAGGAGCAGAGCCGTCTAAAGGTCAAGCCTCTCTGCCTAAAACAGTCTGCCTATTTTTCCACCGGCAGAGTCTCAACCAGTTTCAGAAAAATTAAATAAGAAAAAGGTTAACCATTTGGGCACTTTCACAAAAATAAATACATGTTTGGCACAATGGGACAAAGAGGAAATCTGTGGTTTGTGTTTCAGCCTTTTATGAGAAAAACAAGCATTTTTACTTGATAGCCATCCCTTCTGTGAGAGCCCTGGTGCGACTGCTTAAACATAACCCCTTTTCACACCTCCCACCTCTAATCTGTATTTATAACAAAGCCTGCATTTGGCCAAACTCATGTATATGTAACTTGTTTATATATTCATAATATACACTATTTTTCACTGTATTAACATGCATTACGTTTTCATAAGGGCTCATGGAGTGTATTTTGGACTACATCTGAACCACAAACTTTTTTCCAGACATCATTTATGTTTTTCTGTTCTACTCACAGAAACAAAATACCTTCCTGCTTCCCCCTGTGAATGATACACTCTCCTGTGAGTGATCCACTCCAAAACAGATTTCACTTGGGTTGCCATCCAGTCAGTATTTTACCAGCCTTGACAATACACACATTTGTTCTGTAAAATATATTGTTTTAAAATGTGATGACAGACAGTTGCATGTTTAGTTTTGAATGCGTAAGGGTCCAAATATATCAGCACACCATAACCTACTGGATTATGGTTAAGTTAGTTAAAAGTTAAAAGCAGCAACAATTATTAAAATGTATAACCTAGATTTAGATCATTCATATATCTTAATAAGTACTAACGGCTATGTTAGGACAAATGGGGCTCAGAATCACACTGAGTGGAATAGAGTGTGCAGAATAAATCACACTAAACCCATGGTTTGATATGAATGCCATCTTCCTGAACATGTTGAATATGGAGTGTCTCTCTGTCTCCCTCTCTAGAGCCAATCACATCGGCCTTGGTCTCTTCTCAGAATCATTCATTTTTTTCTCCATACAAACACGG